CCAAAAAGTTCACTGATGATGAAATGGACAAAAGCGTATGAGCCGAAAGCAATCTAATGAACCAGAGCAATGTTAGTTAATAACATTTCAGATGAGTTGCTCTTAGGCAGACGTACCAAATAAATGGTGTACAACAAAAGCAACAACATAACACAAGGCACAATACTCGTTTAGCACTCAATATAGACCTTCAGTAAAAACAAAAAATATGTTTGTATGTACACTGTTGTGCAAAAAGTTTCGTTGTGTAAAATTCTTCAGTTGAAAATAAGCGAAAAGTCAAAAACGACAACAACACAGTTAAATAGATAAATGGAAACATAGGACTTTAGGCACAATGAAATTTATGTGCCATCAATGTGTGGCAGGCAATTCAATAACCGAGATTGTTGATTGCAACGCTCTAACATTCTTAAGGTATTTGGTAAATAAAAGATACGCGCGGCTACACGGTTATCTCACAGTTAACATCTCGTACAGCATTCCGAGATAAAGCAGAACACCATATTTCGGCATTTGCCGAAGAAATGCTTGTTTGTGTTATTTTCAAGGAATTTTATTTATGTAGCTCGCTCTGTTCCAAGTTCATTTTGCCTTCTTCGTTAGAATCTGCAAGACACTTGATAATCATAATATTTTCAGCTTTTTCGGTTGTTCTGAACCGGTTTTGCACATGCGGCGCTCAATGCCTAGCAATTTCGCGTTACTTAACACGCAATTGGTCGCTGTTTGAACTTAAAGTGCCCTGTTGGGAAAACGGAAGCTTCTCGTTTTAGAGGGGATGTTCTTGAATAAAATTACCTTAAGATTATCACACGAATGAGGAGAGAAGTGTATGTAAATAAAGTGAACTAGGTCTAATACTTTAAACTACAGCTTACAAACATTTAAATTTGTACTTTTGGATATATTGAGAACCCATTCAAAGAAACATAGTTTAGATCAAGAAAAGAACTAGTTTTTAACGGAAAGACCTATATAACATAATAGAACCGAAGCAATAAGGCGTTTTTTTAGAGAAATGGTTGTTTTAGATCAGAACAGATAACGCGAACTAAACCCTCAAATTTGAAGATAACCATCTGAAATTTGCAATCATCTTTCCATCAAATGAAGCTGCTTATTTGTCGTAAAAGTCAATATCGGATCTTTTTAACGTACTATATAGCTGTTATGCAAATTGAACGTTCAAAATCAAGAGCTTGTATGTAAAACTTTTTTATTTAGGAAGATACCTTCACAGGATTTGGCAAAGTAAAATGACAGCAGAAATTTTTTAGATCGGACAACATCACAAGATATATTCAAGAGATTTTACATGGATTATTTGCCAAAGCAAAGGTTGGGTTAGGTTAATCTGGTAGACCAACAAGCCATGCATAGACCAGTTTGGGCCTTTGCAATACCAGATGGAGTTCACTTGCTAAGTCCAAGGCTCGCTTAGGCTCCGCGTGACACGAATTTGAACAGACTCTGCCTCTTCATTGCCGATACCTCCTAGAGTGTATCATATTGTAGGGACTTCGGATGCCTACAGCGAAGTCTTGCCAATTCGGGACAAGTCTAGACATTTCCTGCAGTGCGTGTGTCGTATTCCCATTATGTTCCCACAGTCTTCTCTATCGAATGCCAATATAAATTTTATGTACTTCCGATCTACCATTTTGCACATGATTTTTGCAGGTTTGCACCCTGGTAGATCGTTCCATCGGGTCTTGATTTTCTCCACCATGTTTCTGTCGAGATCGTCGTATTGACAATGCATGGGTTTCCCGTTTCTTGGGTTTCACGTTTTCGGATGTTAGCTGTATACCATTCTTCGAAATCTCGTCCACTATTTTTTAATGCCATCGATGCCTTTGTGGCCTAGCACCCAGTAGAAATGAAATTGCTTTTTTCTGGCAACATTTTATACAGCTGCCCAGCTTCCGAAAGACACCTCTGGCCGACATGTGATACAAAGTTACTGCCTTGATTGCTGCTTGGCTGCCTAGGTAGATGTTGACTCTAAAATTGCCTCAGCTTGAAATATACCGTAGTGGTCCGCCTTAAAAAGTCGCCTTATGCCTAACTCTGGAAAAGTTAGGCATGCCAAAGCATGGCAACGATCTCAGAACAAGTTGTTGAGATCGGATCACTATTGCTTAGAGCTGCCAACTGACCGATCAAAATCAAAATAAAGATCTTTTTATACTCTTTTATGCTATATAAATGCATCTATGAAGCGTACAACCACTTCGGTGCATCCGAACGTTCTTTCTTGTTTCATTATCTAATTGCCCCACTCAAGCGCATTCTCTCGATCGCTATCGAACCTTTACTTCGTCCTTTGTAAATATTCCTTATATTACTACTTATTTACTTAGCGACTTTCTTACAGTTCGTAGACAAGTTCACAAAATAAATCAAGAATAATAGAAAGTGATCTTACGACAGCTTCGTCCCGTTACTTTTTTGGAGTACATTTGACAGAAGAATTTATTAGTTTCTGGCATCATGAACGGAAGATATCTTCTTTGTTTAATTATAAAAGTTTGACAATTTGTATTTTTATTATTATATGTTCAATATATGTGACCTGGTCTACGGAAAGGGGGCTTAGGTGTCCAAAAATCCAAAAAATCAAATTTCACTTTTTAATTGATTCGGATGGAAGATGAGATTTTTAACAGCTGTTTCCCAGAAAACTAGTTTTCGCACGTTAGCTCCCTTTTCGTAGACCAGGTCACATATACAAATAAATAGAAGTATGCACCATGTACATATATATATGTATATTTGCTTTGAAGCTTTCGTCTCTCGCGAGTTCATTTTCCCAAGTAAATATTTTTCTTTAGTTCATTTGGCATTGGCATTTTATGTTTCCTGTTGAAGTTCCACAATATTTTTTTCTAATGAGCAAAACGGATAAAGAAATATCGGGTGATTTTTTAAGAGCTTGATAACTTTTTTAAAAAAAAAAACGCATAAAATTTGCAAAATCTCATCGGTTCTTTATTTGAAACGTTAGATTGGTTCATGACATTTACTTTTTGAAGATAATTTCATTTAAATGTTGACCGCGGCTGCGTCTTAGGTGGTCCATTCGGAAAGTCCAATTTTGGGCAACTTTTTCGAGCATTTCGGCCGGAATAGCCCGAATTTCTTCGGAAATGTTGTCTTCCAAAGCTGGAATAGTTGCTGGCTTATTTCTGTAGACTTTAGACTTGACGTAGCCCCACAAAAAATAGTCTAAAGGCGTTAAATCGCATGATCTTGGTGGCCAACTTACGGGTCCATTTCTTGAGATGAATTGTTCTCCGAAGTTTTCCCTCAAAATGGCCATAGAATCGCGAGCTGTGTGGCATGTAGCGCCATCTTGTTGAAACCACATGTCAACCAAGTTCCTGTCTCTTATACACATCTAGATGTGTATAAGAGACAGGTCCAATGATTCCACCAGCGTATAAACCACACCAAACAGTGCATTTTTCGGGATGCATGGGCAGTTCTTGAACGGCTTCTGGTTGCTCTTCACCCCAAATGCGGCAATTTTGCTTATTTACGTAGCCATTCAACCAGAAATGAGCCTCATCGCTGAACAAAATTTGTCGATAAAAACCGAACCCGAACCGAACACTGATTTTGGTAATAAAATTCAATGATTTGCAAGCGTTGCTCGTTAGTAAGTCTATTCATGATGAAATGTCAAAGCATACTGAGCATCTTTCTCTTTGACACCATGTCTGATATCCCACGTGATCTGTCAAATACTAATGCATGAAAATCCTAACCTCAAAAAAATCACCCTAAACTACGAGCACATGTGTGTTGGTATATTGGGTGATCCAAGTAGAGATACCTTTTTTCAATAACGTTTTGTGACAGATCAGACGTAAGTCGTGTCAAGCTGTCATGTTATATTTGTTTAGTATTGTTTGGCATTTTATCACAGAAAGACTTACGTCTGAACAAAATATAGTCGATTCGGCGCAGTTCGCAGCAACTCTGACTGATGTATGGGACGACTAGGCGCATTTTACGTCGAGATCTTAAATTGAAAGCGTATAAAATACAGCTTGTGCAAGATCTGAAGCCGTTCGACCTACCCAAGGGTTCTTGAAAAGTTCCAAGATGACCGACTTTTTGGAGCCAAATTTTGTTCGGCGATTTAGTCTATTCCGGTTCAATGGGTATGTAACCAAGCGAAATTTCCGCATTTGGAACGAAGAGCAACCTGAAGAGATGGAAGAGATGCCATTTCGTCCAGAAAAAACGGTTTGGTGTGGTTTGTGAGCGGGTGAAATCATCAGCCCATATTTCTTTAAAAATAACGCCGATTAGAACGTAACCGTCAATAGCGACCGTTATCGCGCCATGATAATTTGATGCCTGAAATTGATGCTCCTGATCTCGACGACTTTTCGTTTCAACAAAACGTCGCCATTTACCACACATCGCATTAGTCAATGGATTTATTGAGAGTACACTACGGTGAATAGATAATATCCCGTTTTAGACCGATCGATTGGCCACCAAGATCGTGTGATGTTACACAGTTAGACTTTTTCCTTTGGGAAAATCTAAAGTCTTAAGTCCATGCGCACAATTCCGATTCGATTCAAGACTTGTAGCAAAACATCACGCGTGTTATTTGCCAGTTACCAGTCGAAATGCTCGAACGAAACATCGAAAATCGGACTCAACAGATGGACCATCTGAGACATAGGCACGGAAAACATTTGAAAGAGATAATCTTCGAAAAATAAAAGGATGGTTTTCGAATGATATCGAATATTTTTCTTTAAAAAAAAGTAGGGAATAGCGAAATGGATCACTCTTTAAAAAGATAGCATGACGTGAGCTTACCGAGAAACGTACCAGTAGGTTGTTATTTAAAATTATAATAAAATATCAGGCAAAAAAAAATCCATTTAGCTCCTTCTCCACTTAATTTAATGCTATGCGACGAAATAAAATGCAATTTTGAATATAGAAATCATTTTGAAGTTTTAACTTACCAAGTTGAAGCAAAAGTAAAACGAGCGTTGATCGGTTGTATTTTGCTGATTTCGTACGTGCAGTTATGGAAATTTAATCTGGAATATAAAGTATGTAAAATATAATATATTTTTATTAAATATATAACCAGTTTGAGGGTTACAATAATAAAACGCAATTACAATTTTTGAGTTTTTAATCGAATTTTGCCGTACAAAAACTTGATTTTTCTTCACTTTGTACGGCAGCTATGTACTATAGATTTCAGATCGATATCTCAAAAATTGAGGGACTAGTTCACATAATACATACACATGTACGTAGATTGGTATAAAAAGAATAATTATTATTCCTCTTCATCATCATCATCAGCATTTGCTTCAATAAGTTTGCTCACAATTGCTGTGAAGTCTTCACAATTCTTCAATACCAGTAAATTAAAATCGTAAATTTTCAAAAATGAAATTAACACTTTGTCAATATAATTATAGCACTTTGTCTATAATATCAAAATAAAAAACTTTGTTTCAATAAAACGTCATTCGCAACTCAATAACAGTTGAAATAAACTACGACGATACTCTTCTGCTAGCGGTTCCAACGGAAAACGAACGGTAGTTTAGCGATTAAAAGCAATATTCATAAAGTCAAAAAGTTCAATTTTTTCCCACAACAATATTGATTGGGTTTTGTTACTCACATACATATGTTTGTATGTATATAATATTGAGCCTCCATATGTATGTACATATGTATATAGTTAATCTTTTCGAACACAATCACTAATTTATACAAATTTATTTTCTTTATTCAATTGAAAAATTATACAAATCGTCAAAAATACAATAAAAGCGAAACACAGTCAAAACAGACAGACCAGCAAACAAGGCGAGTTATGCAGAGATGAAAAATTACATATACAGTGCTAAACACCAGACAACAATTGCTAGAAATTCCTAATACTTGACCGCACCTCAACCGAAATGGGAAAAGTCAGGCGAAAAAGAAAAATGGAGAAGAAAAATTGACAGCGGCAACTCCAGAGAAAAGATGTTTCAAATAACTTTCTTTGTACGAAAGGTCAATGTGTATGTATGTATGTCCAAGAGGCACTTCATGGGTATATGGGCTGATGCGTTCAGCGCTTATGTAACAATTGAGACAGTTGTTGTGAATCTTAAAAAGCTTAGGCCAACGTGATCTAGCATTTTTGGTTGAGTACGCGCACACAAAATTAAGAAAAAGCTGACTTTTTGACTAAACATAAATGTATATACATACATATAGTATTAAAATATATTTTTCCTTTCTTATTTTATCTATGTAGTTGTCAGCCGCTACAGCAGTGAAGTCACGCTTCATTAATCAAATCTTCGTGCAAATGTCAAGTAACTCATATACATATATTGGGAGAGGTAAACGTGTTGCTCCTACCTACTTACATACATACATAAATATATATGAAATGTATGTAATTCTATACATTGTGCATAGTTTCTAGACTTTCTTCAAGTTGCAAGCCTGTCCCCCAAAGCATGCCATTGCGCATACAAATGAAGCTATCACCAAGAGAGAGATAATAATGAGGTGCCGACAAGTAGGGCGGCTGCTGCTGAATACTCTCATCAGGATAAAATACCCAAAAAAAGAAGTTTTTGGCTTTTTGGCGACGAAAATAATTCAGCAATACTTATAAATTTGACAGCTAACAAAGCCGAGAACATCAACCAGCTTCTCTATTTGCCGCTCGCGTTACGCACGTGTGATACGTTAATTCGGAAGTCGACACTCAGCAAGAAAATAATGCACGAGAAAAAACAAAGTACCAGTCTCAAACTCATAAATCACATTGGAACACATTTGAACTTCAGCTTTTCCTTTTTATGCGTAATTGACATGTCACAAGAATGCTGTGACAATATAGCTTTGCACATCTAGAGATGTATGTATGTATGTATGTAGGTGCATAAAGTGGAATCCATAATTTACGTAACCGCCATCTGAATAAGCCCTGCCATTCCAATTCAACAGCGAAATATGTCAAGTTGTGGACGCTTAGAGAGGCTTTAAATGAATAGTGAATAAAATTAGTGGCACTTCAAGTCTTTCAGCTCATTATATGGTGCAATATGATACATACCATAGACAACACTTAAGCAAATAATTGGCGATTTCTTTAACTTGCCATTAACATCGAAATTAAGGAAAAACAATTTTACATCGATTCCAGCAATTTTCCAACTTTTCACTTTCAATTCCAAGAGTAGGTAACTCGGGCAACCATGAATCGGTTCGGCCCTACGCATACTCTATTGGATAATACGCAACCTCAGAGACGTTGTGGAGTGAGCATCGAAGCACTATTGCTGCTGTGGAGCAGAGTATCGGACAAGACCCGGTTGAGTTCATCAATTATAACGCCCGACAATTTAAGCAGTGCTTATCTATCCTCTTTATTGAAGCTTTGAGCTACGACCTATGAGTAATGTCTTTTTCGTGCCTGAATTGTTGATGTGGACTCTATATACCTTACAGCCAATACAACACTAAATTTATTGTACGAAACTTTTGCTGAGCACATTATCTCGCGTTGAGAGCTTCTCTCTTACCTCTACGATCGTGTGATTTAACGCCACTGGGCTGTTTTTTGCGGGGTTTGACACCCCGCAAGAGAATATTCGTCGCGTTATTGCTGCCATATGCCCTCTTTTGCAGCAAAAAATGATCGAAAACTAGCGTTATTGAGGAAAGAAAAGATAGGTAGGTGGGTTGGAGTGTTACCACTTGGGCGTCAAATAGCGCTTGATGCATTATCGTCAGATTTCTTTAAACTTGATATTTCTTTTCATCTTAGCCAGCAAACAACTTTGTGTTTTCTATGAAACTATTTTTGTCTGATATGCTGTTTATGGACAGCCATTAAATATTTGGTGACTGATATGTTCACAAAATATTCTGTGTCTGGTTTGTCCTAGAACTGAAGAGTCACGGAGAAGGTGGAAGGCTGTTGCCTTATTCCCTTCTAGCCTGCAACTGCACGTGTTTTACAAACGGTCTGTGCCCTATTATAGTTGCGGCAAGCAAGAAAATACCATTCCTGAACCTATGTAGAGTTTTTTGGTTCTAGTCTTATCATATTTGGGCCATATTTGCTTCGTTGTCTTCAAGTTGATTATTGATCTCCATCTGCACTGCGCTATTTGTTTATAGTGAGTATAAAGCTCTCTTGTGTTCGTTCTCAGTGAACATGGTATCAACTCCGCTTCGAATTCATCTAAATAAACTCCTAGTTTGGCCAACTCATCTCCCTTTTCATTACCAAAAATGTTCCTGTTGGCGGGAACGCAAATTAAGGACACGTGGAGTTGATTCGCCAGTGAGCTTAAAGCCTTTCTGCAATTGCTAACTATACTGGAAGGATCGTAGAAATCTTAAGCGTTTTTAGAGGACCCAGTGCAAACTTTTTATCGCATTGTTAGAGGTCAATTTCAGAAATCCAAAGCAAGTACAAATTGCACAACTCAATAAATCTTAGTTCGCAGACCAAGACCCAATTTACATATCTGTATCCATAAGTAGATCTATATATCTTTAATCTGGTCCTTAACGCATTAGTCAATATTTCCAAGCTAACTTATTTCCACGCAGGGTTCAGAAGTATAAACGTATGTCTAAACGTTGTTTCGCAAAAACTAAGCCCAACCATAAGTTCCGCTAATCACTAATCCCGTTGCGGTTCACAAACACACTCACGCAAAAGTATATAACTATGTAATTTATAATGTCGATATCTATGTATATCCAAAATGTAAAATATGCACCTGCATATGTGTGCGTTAATTCGCACGACTTGCATAACTGGCAAAACGCTTTAGTGCTTCCTGCCGCAGCATCCATTGCGGTGGCTGACGCTACGCCAAATGTGAACTGTTTCAGCGCGCCGTCAATGAGTGGGCATATGTATGTGTGCGCATGAAAGTAATTCAGATTTATGAAGCGCGATTACGGTTAGAAAAAATTTTACAGTAGATGCAGTTTAAGCCCTTTCACTTTCTAGCGACGCAGCGCGTAAATATTTTTATAAAAGCTGACAGTTTCCAGGAAACGGTCGTGGGGAATGGGGATTGTGTAAAATGCAAACTTTTTCACTTAATTAGTTGCCAGAGGAAATGCGCGGCAAGCAGTCCAACTAGACTAAATATTATATATGTATATGTATATGAATATAATAATCATACACATTGTAGGCCCTAACCCCCTGCCAACGCTTTGCATTCAAGAAAAGTCACCAAAAGCGTTTGTTGCATTGCGGCCCAGCGCACTAACTGGCTTAGGCGGCTGAAAAAGGATGAAACTCGCGGGAATTTCGCTTTTATTTAAGACACTAACCGAGCAACTAGCAAGCATTTGAGGACCGGGTGATAGGCGAGGCGCAACCACAATCGAGCAACAATATGCCGGAAAACGTAGAAACGGGAAATATTGTGGCAACGTTTTGGCGTAATGAAAAACGTAACGTAAAAAGGAAAATGCAATTTAACTGACAGACTTAATGAATGCGCTCAAATGGTGCCAGCACAGCAGCCCTGCACTGAAGACAGCAGGGAAGCACCCAAAGCGGAAAGTTAGAAATTGAAAATTAAAACATTTACAGTGAAACTTCACTTAAATAACCGCTAAGCTGGAAGTGTCAATGAAAATGAAAATAAAATTTGCCCTAATTCCACCCAAAGTGTGGTACGAAATAAATGCAACAAACAAATGATAAGGCAGCTAGATAATGCGTTAGGGCTGCACAAAGCCGCCGCGCCCCGGGTGCGGCCAACCTAATGCTTCGTTTGCCGAAAGCGATGGAATTTCTATATATTTCGGCTGTTGCACATTGGGTGGAATGCAAATTATTCCGGTGAATTGGGTCAACTTCAGCGCTTACAACGTGTCCACATAATACATTTTGCATGCTCAGCTCGATTTACATAAGCAAACATGTTTACGCGTCCTATAATGTACATATATATGTATACAGTTGACATATGTACACAGTTGGCCATAGGTAGTAAAGCGCACGTTTATGCCTTATGCAGTGGCATGCTTGGTG